CAGCAGGCCATTTTGGCCTTTGTGTGTAAATCTTCCTGGGCCTAGGGCAAGGTCTGGAAGGCTGGGCAGAGCGACTCTCGTGGGTGCCGACTCTGTCAAGCGCCCGAAGGCACGCAGCACCACCGTTTTTGCATGTTCCCAGGTTTGAATGGAGCCCGCTGCATAGCGGCCGAGGAAGTGCCGGAGATTGCCCAGAGAGCGGCGGACTCAACGCCCTCCTCCTTCCTATTTTCGAGTGGCCTCACGGCCCACCCTGTTGGCGACTCATTTTTTACTTGTCCACGATGCCACCGAGGGGCTGGACCCTGAATTCGGCGATGACCCCCTCACCTCGGGGTTTGCGTACTCCGATGGTTCGGGGGTAGGCCCCCCAGGGTGCAAGTCGTTCGGATGAGGTTTTGCGTTTCTCGACGGGGACGGTCGTGTCGTCGAGGAGGGTTGCGGCACCCTGGGGCCCTGGGGGGACCTCGCCTGGTGGGCTCGGTCCTGAGAGCTGCGCTCATGGGCTTATTAAAGGTCCTGCAGCACGGGAGAGCCCCACTTCAGGTTGCTGTTGGCAACTGCACTGTGCATCGAGGCTTCCAGAGAGGGGAGACCTGGTGCACTAAAGCCAGGCGGCCGCATGCAGATTTGTGGCGACGCGCCTGGTTGCTCGTGCGAGACGAGTCCCAAGAACCTGGCGCGCTCGAAGTTGTCAAGGTGAAGGCCCACTCGGGCCGCGACCCCGATTCCCTCGCTGGCCAGGCCCGCCTCGATGCCCAGGGTAACGCGCAGGCGGACAAGCAGGCCAGGAAGGGCGCGGCCCTTCATGGTCTCCCAGATTGCTTGAGGCAGGTCTGACAACAACGCTCCAGGGATTCTGTCAATCTGTATACTTTTGTTGCCATCGCGACCATGCAAGCAGGTGCGTTCAAGGGCGCCTCTGGCCGCCAGGCCCAGGTTCGGAGTGGGGTTCGTTTTCGTCGGCGTGCTCGGGAGGGTCCACCCCCTGGAACCCATCCTCACAACCTGGCCTGGGACTGCAGGGCCTGGAGGTGTCAGCAGTGCGGTAGATCCTCGAGTACGTCACAGAACATGCGCGCGCTTTTTCGCACGCCCTTCAGGAGCGCGCATGCGAGGGTGGCTCGCTTTGTGCTGGCAGCAAGACCCTCGCAGAGGCCACCCAATCGACGGCATGCCCTCATGCGTGCTGGAGGTTTTGTGTTATGTGGCAGTTGCGGGGTCTTCCCAAGCGGGCGGGCCCAAAAGCTATGTTTGCCATGCGAAGGAGAGCCTGCCAATGCGCAGGCCGAATGTCGTCGATGCAAGCTATTAAGGGGAGAGAGTCTGTACACTAGTCAAAGCCTGTGCGACGGGGGGGCGGTTCCTCTCCCACCTGCCGAACAGCGGGTTGTGCTGGCAGCACTGCGGGCTCGCTAGCACTGGTCCTTCGACCTCGGTGAGCTGCGGTGCGCCATCGGGGGATTCGCAAACAGCAACAACCAGCACGCCCTCTTGTGCGCCTTGTGCGCGGCCGCTCGTCGCTAAGGAACTCGTCCTGTGAACAATCGTACCCGCGTGTATGCATGTGTTCATGCATATGTATGTATATTTGTATGCATGTATGTAGGTATGTATGCATGTATGTATGTATGTATGTATGTATGTATGTATGTATATATGTATGCATGTATGTATGTTTGTATGTATGTATGCATCGATGTAGGTGCATGTATGCATATATGTACGTATATATATATATCTATATATCTATATGCATGCATGCCTGTATGCATGTCTACATGTATGCATGTCTGTATGTTTGTATCCATGTTTGTATGTCTATATGTATGTAAGTAGGTGTGTGCATGCATGTATGTATGCATGCAAGTATGCATACATGTAGGAATGTATGTAGGTCATGCATGCATGCATGCATGTATGCATGTATGTATGTATGTATGTATATATATATATGTGTATGTATATATACGTGTGTGTATGCTTGTGTGTGTATGTATGGGTGCATGTATGTATGTACGCATGTATGCATGTATCTAGGTATCTATGCATGTTTGTATGTATGTCTGTATGTATGTATGTCTTTTGTATGTATGAGTGTATGTGTGTATGCATGTATGTATGTATGTATGTATGTATGTATGCATGCATGTATGTATGTATGCATGTATGTATGTATGTATGCATGCATGTATGTATATGTATACAGTTCTACACACATATTATCGCACGGCGTAGCTCACAACCGCAGAGCCCACCCCCCTAGCTGCCGCCTCCAGCTCGCATCGCGCAGCCTGCACGACGCTGCCCCCCTCTTCTTCCCGCGAACCCTCCCCCGCTGCAGCCGCTGCTCTCCTGGCGGCGAATCGCCAGGAGGACGATGATGATGATGATGATGATGATGATGATGCTGATGATGATGATGCTGATGATGATGATGATGATGATGGATGATGATGATGATGATGATGATGATGAGGATGATGAGGAGGAGGAGGAGGAGGAGGAGGAGGAGGAGAAGGAGGCGGAGGAGGAGGAGGAGGAGGAGGAGGAGGAGGAGCAGGAGG